ACGAATTATCATACTTCTCCCCACGGTTTCCTGCTGGTCACCAAAATATCGTTTCAAAACCCTTGTCCGAAGCCGAATACAACCCCAAAAAGATATGGGTGGCGACAGAAGAGTGTCAGAAATAGCGACGAAATTTAAATCGAAACGACGAATATTCAAAGCGCCATAGAAGCATCGGTTTGCGCCAGGCCCATACTAACGGAAATATTAGCCGCCTAACGCATTTACCTTCAACCGCACAGACGCGTAACTCCGAAGTGTCAATATGCCCCAGGTATACGGAGCCAGCGATCAGAACAGTAGCATCATGCGCCGAACGTCAACATTTATCACCGAAACACCGTAAAATCCATCTCTCGAAAATAATCCGCTTCGACAGACAGATGCCGTTAACTTCGCGTCTTCGTTGAAAGTCAATGTTGCAGCAGCGAATGGGTTTGTGTTTTCGTCGGCGGTGCGGGTCAACAGTCAGGCATGACAACGCAAGTCGTTGATACCGTTATCGATGCAATGATAAGACGTTATACAGTTGTTCATGCAGCTTCATTGTGGAACATCGTTTCAGCAACTGATGTTGAATCACTATCATTTTGCCGTGATAGTTTATCACGATTACCGTCATCCTTGAAGACCTTATCAATATTTACCGTCATCGACATTGACTATACATGCCATTTCAGGTAGAAGTAATTTATTCTTTAGTCATGCCAGTTCGCCGACAGCGCAATTAGATAGTAAGGAGCCAGCAAACGTTCGCTCAACATCTGCCGATCAATACGGCGTTAACGTTACGTATTCGGTTATTGATCAATAATAGCGTGCCTACTGTCGAAGTAGCGATACCGAAGAATTCGCGATAATGGATGCGCCCGCCTTCCTTCTCCGCATCACTTCCATTTCTCGCCCGTCTTCTTCGCCTTCTTTCACCGTTCTTCCTTCCTCTTCTTCGTTCTTCCTAATTCGCAGTCTTCCTCTTCCTCTCTCGATTCGATCTTCGATCTCGACGCCGAGGCCCGATGAAGAGCTCTATCTGAACTCGAAGAACTTTGCTTGAGTCGTTCACCACGCACGAGCTTCAGCAAGCCTGCTCGATTGCTCCAGTTTCGAGGTTCGGTTCCATGTTTGCGTGTTTTAAATAACATAATATATTCCTCGTATAGTTCAAGATCGCATGCGTGTCGTAAGAGGCGATCATCAGGTGAACATCGACCTTGTTTAATAAACAGCCGCACGGATAGTCCATGTTCCGCCGACTCGCAGAACAAATAATACCTTCTGGTATTTACGACGATGGCATGTCAAGCCGGGAAAGTGACGGTTAATAAAATGTCCTCGAATGTTCCTGATGCAGCTTCCGGCCCGGGAAGTTAGTATCAGTAGGTTACACGTACCGTTCGTCGATGACGCTGAAACACGATCGACACGGCATGCACATCGCCGGTCCGAAAAGTTGAAAGCTTCTTTAAGAATGGGTGAGTTTGAATAACGCCGCCAATATCAGCAACACGACGGGGACAATGGGGAATGGTCATCACTACGTGATAAACTGGTTCGGCGCAGTCAACGCTTTACCGGTGTCCTCCGAAATACCCGTGAATGAACGCACCCAGATCACGATGCCAGAGAAAACGACTGATAACCGAGCTTTAGTCGTTAGCATATTTTAAAAACGATTATGGTCTTTGGCGTAGCGATTCTTCAGAGGACCATGTTTAGCCTTTGTTTGTCATACTTTCAGAATTATTATTTAAACCATTCATTGGCTAAAGTCTGAACATTAGCCGTTGCCAGCCGCAATGGTTCGGCACCGCGCCGTAATGAATGCCAGCTCACGGACAACAGCAATCCCAGCGCGCATCGGCATGCCGTTATCTGCTTTTGAGCAAATGTTCACTGGCCTGAGTTTCACTTCTGCGCAAAGTTCAGCCACGTTTCGATCAAAACCGTTTTAGTTAGTGCCTGTCGAGACATAATCACGTCGGAAATTGCCGCCCGCGGCTCGCTTCACCGACGATCGATCGACCGACCGAATTTGCATACGTCGCTTCTTTTAGTAATAGTTCAGCAACAGGCATCGACCAGAAATTGGCCGTTATCAACGCTTCGGCCCACCACCACCACTTCGACGCAAAAAGGTGTATGACGCCTACTTGGGTCGTTTGGGCTTTATTTTCGACTAATATATTCTGTGGTCGGGACATAAAGCAGCTCGTTATACCCGTCGCTTATCATCCCGTGATATCTATTTTTTACATGGTGCGCCTTTCCCGCCTTGTTGTAATAGCTCGGCTAAAGACATGTTAAAATTGAACTACGTTTATAACGAACATGCTTATAACGAACTGACGGGTATAACGAGCTGCTTTATGTCCCGACCACCAGAATATATTAGTCGAAATGCGAAACGCGGTTATTATGGAGCTCTTTAAGGGCGTTTAGAGGTTGGAAGAACATTAATTCACACCTTTTCTTTACACGTCGTTTCAGAGCTAATTGCGAGCAACGAGTCTTTCCATTGTGATATGGAATCTCAGTAGGCATACTAATAAAACCGGTTTTAGTCCGAAACGTAGACTTGCACAAGTAAATAATTAATGGTTTAAATGAACATTTATGAAAAAATACAAATATCCGATTGGCATCCTTCTGTCCACTTATGTCGACTTGCCCTTTAAAGGATAGGATTACTATATTATCCATGGGCTAAGCATTCAGTACAGCCTTGGTGCAAGGCTATTCGGTACAGTAACAGCAGCCTTATGAGTAGACTTGCTCAAGCTCCAAAGGTAATAATTAATAGTTTAAATAATAATTCTAAAAATATAATAAATAAAACTAAAACATGGTCCCTCTAACAGAATCCCGCCTATATATAAAGATATATGCCTTTTTATTGCAAATATCACTAAGCATGCAAAAAACAGTTTATCTGTCCTTTTCTCTGCTCATCAACAGATCTAAGAGCCGCGTTCGATTCCACAGATGGTTGCAATGTGTGAAGCCCATTTCTGTAGGGACGATGGGGTAGCCTAGTGGTTAAAGCGTTGGCTCGTCACGACGAAGACCCGCGTTCGATTCCCACATGGGTACAATGTGTGAAGCCCATTTCTGGTGTCCCCCGTCGTGATGTTGCTGGAATATTGCTAAAAGCGGCGTAAACCAAACTCACTCACTCACCCATTCTTAAAGAAGCTTCCTGAGCACAACATTTCAGGACCAGCCCGAGATAACACGATAAAACGTTATCAGTCATGGAGCATTGTTTCCACAGCGTCCTCGACGGGGCAGGAGTGTTACATTACATGGTAACCCCTTCCCCCTGTCTAACCCCCTCCCCAGGCCAGATGCCCATCAGGAACATTCCAGGGACACGGTGGTATTTTTATGCTCGGCGACAATACTTCCAGCCCGGAGAGACAGGGATGAGATCTCGCTTCTGCCGCATCTCCATCGCCCCACGTGATAAGAGGTGTTTTGTTCTCGGATCGGGGAACATATTACGTTCTGCAGTCTGGAGCGTTTTAGTTTGGTCGTTGTTTGGCGCCGCAGTTACACAATTCCAGCTATATGGAGGCAGTATGTTATTAATAAAGTCTGGACCAGACAATCCTGTATCAACAGCATGAGCATCCATCGAGTGACAATTGGGATGCGATGACGTATGTATAACAAGTCAGCGAGACTGACCGAATCCAGTTAGTCGCCTCTTACAACACGCATGCAGTCTGGATATACAGGAAATATATTATGTTATTTAAAACACACAAAACGAATGTACATGGAACCAAGAACAAAGAACAAACCTTAGAGCTGCGGCAATCGAATGGGTACAATGTGGGAAGCCCATGTCTGGTGTCCCCGCTGTGATATTGTTGGAATATTGCAAATATGATTTTCGCTCCCATCGCTCTGGAAACGTTATGGCTTTGTTCATCGAGATCAACAAAGAGATCTTTTATTCTTGAAGCACTTCGAGGCAATGCTTGAAAAATGTTAATACCTCGTAAGCATTGTTGTTTTTAACACCGTTCTGAAGTGCACACTTAAGGGGCGAAGTAAAAACACATGCATCATACGGGCCAGACTTTTGTAATTACTGTCTCGTGTCATCTCCAATGTCTCTTTTTGTGAAATTAATAGCAAATATCAGATAGGTGTATAATGCAGTTTACAGAAACTGGTGGTGCCTCAGAGCTCAAAGCGGACAGAGAGAGAGAGAGAGAGAGAGAGAGAGATACGGGAGAGAGGCAGGGAGAGAGAGAGGGGATAGAGAGAGTGGGACAGAGAGGGTAGGATGGAGGGATAGAGGAGAGGCTCATCAGAGTGGAGAGAGAGTGGGAGAAAGAGGGAGGGAGGAGAGAATGCGAGAGGGGGAAGGAGGCAGATGCTTTATCCATTATCACGCGAATTCTTCAGTATCCACTACTTCTAAAGCCCTAGTAGGCTTACACTCTGTGTAGTCAATAGAAACCAGAATAGACTTCATTTACATTGTACCCATGTGGGAATCGAACCCGGATCTTCGAACGTGACGGGCGAACGCTTTAACCACTAGGCTACCCACCGCCCTAAAGAATTACGCTGTCCGGCAGACTGTCAGCCCCATCACATATTCCGTCATGCACTTCGAGACCCTGCACCTAGAGTAACATGTATGTCAATGTCAATGTAAGGATAACAATGACGGGTAAAATATTGATAAGATCAACAAGGACGATAATGATGACAATAATCATGATAAACTATCACAACAAAATGGCTAATGACAATAGTGATTCAACATAGTTGCACAAACGATGTTTACAGTAAAGCTTACATGAACAACAATAACGTCATAATCAGCAAACGTGTACATCGATAACAGGTCCAACGACGCACGTTATCACCTGTACCGGGCCCTGCTGAAGGAATCTCTACGTACACACCACCGGCAAAACACAAACCCGCCCATTCGCGCGGTTCCGTTGCAAGCATTGAAGGCTTTCAAACGAAACCCAAGTTTGCGAAAGCATCTGTCTGAAGGATTATTTCAAGAGAATATTGGATTAATTTTCAGAATGGATTTTACACAGTGTGTTTCATTTGTCATGTTGGCGTTCAGCAGTCTGGTGTTTCCTGCTACAAGTAAGTTTCCGTTCCTTGTCCTTGGCCATTGCTCCATGCCTGCATCTGGCAGTGAGGCTGAACACGCGCTTTGGGGGTGATGGAGATTCATTCTTATGACCGCTACCCCTGGGTTACACGTGTAATCTGTCACAGTTGGAAATTGGATAAACTGGCGATTAAATTTACTGGCTAATATTTTTCCGTTAAATTGTATTTGTAAACCGATACTTCTATGGCGCTGATTTGTCTTTGAATATACGATCGTTTCGGTTTAAATTTACAATCACTTAATATACAGCCTCCTTCTTGTGCCACACCCATATTTTTTAGGGTTTGTATTCAAGAGGAGAGGGTTTGGAAGCAATGTACAAGTACACTTGTTCCAATCTCCCCATGTGATATTTGTGCCAGGAACCACGTGAGTTGAAGTAGTGTAGAGCACGCACCGTCACGTGTTGTGTTTTTACCTAAACACAACGAGGAACCTTATGATATAATTCATGTCGCAATAAACGTGTTTAGCCGTTTCTTATGATATACTGCGTTCGGTATTGCTATACACCAGTTGACCAGCAAACCTCCTTAGGTATCCTGTAGTTCATGTCACGATATACTGGTTGCTCCACCAGGCTCCTTATGATATACTGCGGCTGAAGGGGTCATTGTCGGCACAGGTACTACAGATATGTACCCCAGGTACGTTTCTGTATACAGACATGTACCCTAAACTAAGACAAACTACAGAAACGTACCCGGTACCTAAACGACGGACGAGTCCATATTCCGCAACCCAAAACCGAAACCGTATGTAGTTATTCCCGTTCAGCTGATTGCGAGTGGTGTACGTTGTGCACCGTGAAATATTCGTTATACTGTGTATGCTCTTATATAAACTTCTGTAAACAGAAACGTACCTGGGGTACACATCTGTAGTACCCGTGTCGACAACGACCCATTCACCTATCCTGCAGTTCATGTTACGATATACGTGTTTAGCTGCCAGGCTCCTTATGATATACTGCAGTTCATGTTACGATATACGTGTTTAGCTGCCACTCCTTATGATATACTGCAGTTCATAGCGATATACTGGTTTAGCCCCACCAGGCTCCTTATGATATACTGCAGTTCATGTTACGATATACGTGTTTAGCTGCCAGGCTCCTTATGATATACTGCAGTTCATGTTACGATATACGTGTTTAGCTGCCAGGCTCCTTATGATATACTGCAGTTCATGTTACGATATACGTGTTTAGCTGCCCAGGCTCCTTATGACATACTACAGTTCATGTTGCGATATACGTGTTTAGTTGCCAGGCTCCTTACGTATTTAGCTGCCAGGCTCCTTATGATATACTGCAGTTCATGTTACGATATACGTGTTTAGCTGCCAGGCTCCTTATGATATCCTGCAGTTCATGTTGCGATATACGTGTTTAGCTGGCTCAGGCTCCTTATGATATACTGCAGTACATCCATTATACGTGCATCCATTACGTGCTTAGCAGCCGGGTTCCTTATTATATGCTGCAGTGCATGTTACGCTTTTCGTGTAACAGTCAGGTTATTTATGATATTCCGCAGTACATGGTGGGATATGCGTGTGTTAATAAGCCGCTGGGTTCCTTATGACATAGACTTGCGCATGTCTCTAAGGTAAAATTAAGAGCTTAAATGATAATTTCTAAAAGACTGGGGTCCTTGAACTGTCCGCTTTTCTAGACTTGCCTCTTCGAAGGATAGAATTACTATACATCGATGAGCTCAGCATTCTGTACAGCCTTGGAGCAAGGCTACTAATGACATACCGCAGTACAACTGTAGTAGTAGTCTGTCATACAAACCCTGAAGCAAATATATCCAAGAAGGCACTCTCAAGTCTAGAAAATGTGGCAAGTCTAGATTTCCACAGCTTCTGAAAATGAAGAAAGTCTCAAGGCTCGTTTTCATTGTGTTTTTTTTTTTACTATGAACTTTCTTTTCTGTAAAACGTGTTTTCTGTGAAATAAAGATATCTTTATTAAATACTGCAACAAATTTTACATTATTCGTGTTTAGCAGCCATGTTCCTTGTGATATACTGCAACGCACATTACGATACATGTGTTTAGTGCCTGGTATTTTATGATATACTGCAGTACATGATTCATGTGGAGAGTGAGAAGGGGAGGGAGGAAACGCTCTATTCATTATCTATTCATAAGCTAGAACACATCTTTGCCATTTCCGTGGCGGACACGGTATGGTGCTGAGACACCCTAGAATCATATCAAGGATTCGAACCACAGGTATAATATGTGCCTAAAGAACGCAACTCTCCTCACGGACTTACGGCGCATGGGGCGAGTGGGCCACTCACTTGCCCGAGTGTATTACAAACCAGATGTGGCGTATGTAATGCATTGTTCTCACATACATGCATGTTCACGAACAGACTGAGATAACGCTAGAATGAAGGTCTCGGGAGAACATCCGGGCTCTACCCATTCATGCCTGCATATCTGTACTGTACCTGGCTTGACTTGAAACACTGCTGCCTCCACGGCGCTACGCCATATCATGTAACGCTGGTGCATTTCGCCCTCTGTTTTTCCACATGCTACACAGATTTTGCATCTTATAATTACCTTTTCGTGTGTCGACAGAACTGCGGTTGTTAGAAACCTGTCTGGCTGAAAGTTCGTATCACTATATACACAGTGAGTAATAACGGTATTTACCGGTACACCTGCAAGGCGGGAACTGCGTGGAAATGAAGGGGCGGGTTTCTTCTCTCTTAAACTATGGCTTGTACCTTGATGAAAGACGGATAGATTAATTACGTGCACAATTTTGTTTGTTTATGATGTTAAATAATTGAGTGCAATTCCTGCAACATCCTAGTATCGAAGGTGTCGATGGGAACATCTGTTAACACCGTACCCCTTCTCAAATGTGTGTCAGGGTCGTCATTCTATTACTCATAGTGTCGGTGAACATATGTACGGTCTAGTTGTATAATATTGTCTCCCTTTAAAGACGAACAGTTGGTTTGACTTTCTATGGATTTAAGCTTATGTTATAATATTTTTATTTTGTTTTATCTTATTATTTAAGATGATGTTGAAATTCTGTAATAACCGAACATAGGATGATTCTGAAACATATATGCAAAGGGTATAGAACGTAAATTTCACAGCGTCCGGATAGTCTGTCTCACAGTCCCTGAACCACATTAATTTCCCTACTGCCTAGCCCTCTCTGCAGTGCTAAAGCCCTAAATAAAGCAAGTCTAGATTTCCTCAGGTTCTGAATCTCTGGTCTCCCTAGGGCTCCTTTTCAATATAAATGGGCTTGTTTGTTTACTATCAAAATTATATATATTCAGAGACTAAGCCCTTAGTCTAACGTTCGGATTGTATGTACTGTCTATTGTGTATGTCAACTTACTACCCGACTATTACAGTGATATTCCAACCTCTCACACCAATTACGTAACGGGTTGAACGTTTATATTTTTATTTTTATTTTTTATTTTGCTGAAATATTGAATACCTTGTTTGTTCAATGAGTTATTTATTGAATCGTGTATTATGTAGATTTATTCATATATTTGCATTAGCAAGATAATTATTTTAATGGGTGAAATAGGTGGAAATACATTCTATTTTCATCAGTTGTAGCACTAGTGATTGTTTCTCGACGAGCCAAAGCATCAACTTGTATTTTAAAGAACAGTGATGCTCTACGACCCTGTTTCTTGGAGGTCTGCCTGTATCCATTGCCAGATTGAGTTATAGGACGAGTTGAACAGAGCTGTCAACGTTAAATGTAGCGTGTCCTGGTGTTACAAACATAACACTCTCTTAGGGAATTTAACTGACGTAAATACATGCGAGATGATGTGGTTGCATGCGAGATGATGTAGGTTCTTTATTCGTGTTGGCACGATGTTCAGTCTCATGTCTTCTACGTTGGTTGGAGGAAGCCTTTTATCTTTATGATATGCAAGTCTAGATAAGCGGACAGTACGCCAGTCCTTTTCAGGGACAATTTGTTATTATGGCTATATAATCTGTAATGATAAAAACTGATTGATTGTTGTTTTACCCCACACTCAGTAATATTCCAGCTATATGGCGGCGGTCTGTAAATAATCGAGTCTGGACCAGACAATCCAGTGACGGACAGAATGAACATCGATCTAGGCAGTTGGGATGCGATGACATGTGTCAACCAAGTCAGCGAACATGACCACCCGATCCCATTAGTCGCCTGACAAGCATGGGTTACTGACGACCAATTCTAACTAGGATCAGTAAACTTGTACATGTCTTGGCTGATTGCGTAAGTGAGCATTCGGCAGTTGATGTCCTCGATCAGGGCTGTTCACAACATGACACCAGCCCAACATGGGTAATTGAGAAGGTAAATGGGTAAGGACTAACGGCGGACGTCAAGACGGGGACACAGTCTTTACGACAATTTTTCTTTCTTCGATTTGTTTGAGCGTTGAACACATCCATTATTTATGATATTTTGTGACATTAAGATGGGACGGTTACACACTGTACTTGGACCAAATAGCTACCACACAACTTAAGTGATCAGAATCTGATGTACCTAAGGTTGGTTTGTTGTTTAACGCCGCACAGCTATATTGTAAATAATATATAAATAATAATCTGACAATCTAGTGATCGACAGCATGAATATCGATCCACGCAATTTGGGATACGATGACATGTGTCAACCAAGTCAGGGAGCCTGACCACCCGCCCCCGTTAGTCGCTTTTTTACAAGCATGGGTTACTGAAGACCAACCCGTATCTTCACGGGGGCGAAGTACTTAAGCAGATATGCAGCTTTGGTACGTTCAGTGTCATAGATAGTGTCAGTTGCATCAGTATTCCAGCTATATGACGGCAGTTTGTAATAAACGAGTCTAGCCCAGACAAGCTTGTGTTTGACATTATGAGCGTCGATCTAGCCAACTAGAATACGATGATGTGGATCAGTCTACTACAATGAGTGAA